AATAAACTGAATTTTACATACGTGTCCAGCCACGTGCTCTCTTAATATTTTAATCGGAAGATTGTTTGTGTGTTTGTTTGTTTTGAATTTCGCGCAAAGCTACACGAGGGCTATCTGCGCTAGCCATCCCTAATTTAGCAGTGTAAGACTAGAGGGAAGGCAGCTAGTCATCACCACCCACCGCCAACTCTTAGGCTACTCATTTACCAACGAATAGTAGAACAGATCGTCACATTATAACATCTCCACGGATGAAAGGGCGAGCATGTTAGGTGTGACGGGGATTCGAACCTGTGACCCTCAGATCGCGAGTCGAGCGCCCTAACTACCTGGCCATGTTCAGTTGTCCTTTCTATTCTCGATAAAGTTCTCTCATATACTTTTTTAAATTATCACCCCCTGACTGACATGTAAAATACAGAGAAAGAAATAATGTATATATATTTGAATTTCTTATAATAAGCACACACTGTTGATAGATATCGTTATAAGATGTTTATACCAATGAATATTAAACCCCCTCAAATGACTGATGAAATTTAGAAACGAAATTTTTAACAATTATGCACATAAAAAAGTACACAGACTGTATATATATATATACCCCATATAATGAAAGAGGAAACTGGTGAAATCCAATCAGTACCTCTAGTGGCCGCCCCCACTAACTAATCTATATTTAGCCATCACTGGAGCTATGACAGCGTGCACTTTAAAATAAAAATAATTTCTTCTTTACGCATTCCGAATCATTCTTAGTTGATTAAACCATATTTGACAGGTCCAAATACAAAAGCCTAGGGGGAGTTAGAGGACAAACAAACACACAAACAAACTTCTTTCAAATTATAGTAGGTTTATTATAATAACGTATCCAACTACACTGCAATCGGTGAAAAACCAAACATTTCGCAAAAACAAAAATAATAACCAATAATAATAAATCCATCTGAACACTGAAAGAAAAGTTATTCACTATATATGGCTTCATTACTGGATAATAAAAGCAATGGGTTTTTAACATAAAACCCTATATTAACGTTTATAATAAAAGTCTAAGTTGTTTTTTGGGGGGACACAACATTTGTTGAATCTTTACAACCTGACCTTACAAAAAAATTCCAGTTTTAGTTTTCTTTCTGGCATAAGCTAACCTACTCTAATATACACATAAATATTATTTGGCAAAATGAATAGAGTGCACAGACACATGTAGCTCCTTCTGTATAATCCCGGCATATTGTGTATATAATACAGAAATGATTTGCTGCCCTAAGTACGCAGCTAAAGAACGTTTTGTCTGCGATCACTTTGGTGCTATTTTCAATCTAGAAGCGGAAAAGAACTAAGCCATTTTTATCACCAGTGTGTGGTAAGGCCGCACCCCCTGCTGGGGATTCTAGAGGGAAGCATCACGAGCATATAAGCAAGCAGACACAGAGGAATGGTTTTCAAAGCTTCCGACTATCGATTTTGTATTCGTCTAAAGGTTAATACAACTATAAAATATTTTTACCGCGTGGGAATTATAAATAACATCCACACATTTTACCGTCTTTAACAGTTTTGCACTATAAAGTATGTCTTCAAATAGTAAGTTGAAAAATATCATCTTTCACGAAATTCACACATACTCACCAACAGCACCTACACGTATGAACAGGCACAAGCAACAAATACATGCATACACACACAAATTCCACAAACAAATATTGCATACATATACAAACAACAAATAGTGATATGTATACAGAAACTCACAGTATAAGAGAATATTAAATTCTGCATACAGATAATACAAATGCACTCGTTCACTATATTTTAGCTGTTTCTTTTAATAAAGTAAAAGCAATATAGAAGTTAGAATACGAAACAAAAAATCAAATGTAAATCTACTGAAACATGTATTTTTTTTTTCAAAGTAAAACCTGCTTTTATATTCCTCACACGAATTATTATAAATCAAACTCACTTGACTGTGTGTATGAGAATACAAATTAATTTATAAGTGTAATTTGTACGAATATTTCTCTATTAACTGTAAAGCTTAAACCTATTTCTTCTTTATGGATTCAGGATACATTGTTCTACGTAGCACGGTCATCCAGTGACTTGAGAAACTACGGCTTTCCGTCTTTGTTCCCATACTTGTGTCGTCACATATACTTCCTTTTTACGCGTCAGCAAAGATAGATTCTATATGATGAACTAATGATCTGTCGTTATTGCGCAAGTTTAAATTGCATCGTGAAATTATAAGTACATTTTATCAAAATACAAAGGAACCCTTGACTACAAATCTGAATTTTAAAATGGTACCGTGTAGAGCGTAGATTCGTGGCCTACATGATAATGAATTTCCCATGATAAACAGTGTCCTCATACATGTGTGTATCAACGTTTAGACTTAATGGCTGAATTAATTCTGCTGTTGTTCTTGTTCCTGTACCATGAACAAAAAATAATACACCTGTACACTATATTGTCACTTATGGTAAAATACTATATCTGATTCTTGTCTTATTGTTTTGTATCAGACATATATATACACCTGGAAAAAAGTTAAGCACCCCCAAATATTTTTCAGGATTGCTTATTGAAAATAAGGTTTAATTTTCATGATGTTGAGCAATGTTCATAATTTCAAACATAATTAAAAGAATGTGAGCGTTCAGGTGTGACATTTAAATCAGGCGCGTTTTTTTCCCCACGTGCACTTACTCCCTTCTTCACGTCCAATA